TTCCAAATGTAAGCTTTTCAACTTTCTAATAAGACGTAAGTCTGAATTATTGTTATATCTAATTCAAAAATTATTATTAAAAATTAAAAAAAAGAAACAAACTGGTTCAAGTGTTAAAGGAAATTCTTCATCAAAGATAGTAGAAATAGAATTAGATAGTGGTTGTCCACGTGATGACATAGTTTTTTTTAATAATTAGTTTTTTTTTATTTTTAGATGTAACTAATAAAAGTATCTTTTCTTAAACTATAATTTGTCAATGTGGAAGTAGAAGAACAAGATTTCTAAAAATACTTATTTTAATATTAAAGAAAAGAAAATCTTTAGGCATTTTAATCAATAATGTGACCATCTATATAAATTATCTTATAAATTATTAAAATATTTTTTATTATTTTAAGTAGAATAATTCCTACTTTTTTATGTAAAAAAAAATATCATAATTTGCCGTTAGTTTTAGTGAACGGATAACAAAGAGTTTCTTATCATAGAATGAACAATATAAAGAAAAAACTTATGTAATAGTTTTAATATAAAAAACATAGGTATTATATATATTTGGTGTTTAATGATATAACTTCTATAAGGGAATAAAGGAAAATGAAATGGAAAAGGAAAAGAATGAAAGTAAAATAAATAAATACTATTTATTATAATTTTAAGGGTTTTAAATAAAACTTAAAAAAAATTAAAAATGACTGATTTTTCAATAAACAACTTCCCTATTTCTATACAAGTAGATAATATCATTAGTAATGAACTTCCATATGCCAAAGTAATTCAAAATAGTGTTCAATTTGAGTCACGTGAATTTTATGAAGCATATGACTTTTCTGAAAAATCACAATTTAAAACACAAGATAAAGAAAAAGATGGATTTATTGAAGTTAGTTCTGGTCGTGGTCATAATAAATAATAATATTATTAACTAAATTCACTTTGTTCTTTTAGTTATTTTCATTATTCATTTTAAAGTCTTTTGTATTAAAACAAAATTTATATTTTTATTAATATAAATTAATAAAATGAATAAATAAAATAAAAATAATACTGAGAAAATACTTATTTATTTTTAATTAGTATTTTTTATTTCTTCTGTTTCTGTTTGATTGTGTGATGTAATTTCTTCTTTTGTTTCTTCATCTTTTCTTTCTTTATTTGATGAAATAAAATCATTTTCATTAAGAATTCCTTCAACAGTTTTAAATGTTGTATTCCACTCTTCTGTTCCTTTAATTATTTTTTCTTCACAAACAAGTACAAATATCATATTTTTTATAAGTTCTTTTATTTCTTCATTAATACTATTATTTTCTTTCATTTTTTGAATAATTTGCATTATAATTGTCCAACTTTCTTTATTTTTTTCTAAAATAATAATATGACTTCCTAAGAATATTTTAGTAACCATTTCGATACAACGTAATGAAATTTCATGTCTTTTTTTTGAACAAGTTGAGTTAATAAATTGTGACATTGATTTAAAGAAATAAAGAACAACATCTCCTGTAGTTGTTGAGAAAAATTCAGGAGTTACACTTTGTAAAGTTGTTAATGCATTTTGTCTAATTTCAGCTGTTGGATGACAACAAGCAACAAAGAAGAAAAGAGAAATAGATTGGAAATTATTTATTATAGTTTGTTTATGTTCGTCATTTAATTTTAAGAACATAACTAATTTGGAATAAAATAATGTAAGAACTTCAATGTATTGTTTAAAGAAAGTAGTAGAAGCAATTGTTTTATAAATATTACATAAAATCATTTTCATTTGATTACAATGAGAAGAATTAAATAATGGATTATTAATTATATCTTTTATTAAACAAATATTTTCTGTACATAATTGTTTGATTAAAACAGTAGTTTGAGAAGTATGAATTATAAACATATTTAATATATCATTCATACTTTTTGGTTCTTGAATCATTGTTTGAGTAATCTTTATAATAATTTTTATAATTAAATTTTCATTCATTTTAATAAATTCATCTGGAAGAACACACAATAATTTAATTGTTTCTTCAACAACAGAAGAACTAGTGTTTTCATGAACTTCCATTAATGAAAGTGGTAATAATGGTAAATAATCCATTAATGGATTATCTGATTTTTTATCTATTTGTTTAATAATATCTTCAACAATATCATTCCAAACTAAATAATTTCTATTCCAATTAAAGCTAATAATAATATGAAGTAATATTAATGCACTAACTGAGCTATGATTATTTCCTTCTTCACTATTACTTATAATTGAATAAAATCCATTTATAAATTGTTTTAATTCATTATCATTCATTTGTTTAGTAATTTCAATAATAATATGTTTACTATATGATTTTGTTTTAAATAGGTTTTTTGTTTTTTGAATTGATTCTTCAGTTTGACTTTCACCTCCAAGCCAAGAACTAAACCAAGAAGATTGTTGTTTTTGAGTTTGTTGTGGTGTAAATAATTTTAATAACTCTGATGGTTTAGATTCTTCAATAGTAGGGAATAAGTCTAAGTGTTTTAGTGATGACATAAATTCACAAATTAATGGAATGGATTTATTAAATATTGAATAAAATTTGTCAAACAATTCAAGTACTAATAATGATGCTCTGATTGGTTTAATATCATAACAAAATGTATTTAAATCAGGATTTTGGCAAATAGTAGAAACTTTAATTAAATTATTTGCTAAAAAATCTGCCATAGTTGTATTATTTAATGTTTGTGCTAATGATGCAAATTCAATAAATCCTTGACATGCTTGATCCAATGCACTTGTAGTACTCGCTAATTCAAATTGAGCTTGAAGGTTTTGAACAAGAGGTTTAATAATTTTATTTACAACTTCATCAACACTTTTTGATGTATAATCTGTATCAGAAATATATTCTTGCATTATACTTTTTCTGTATATAAAGTCATCTTTTAGTCTTGAAATATCTATTGATGGTTCTTCATTTGGAATATGAAATTCATTCTGGTCAATATAATCATAGATTGTATTAAATATATCTTCATTTACTTTTGGTATCATTTCTTTCATTGCTTGAACAAATTCTTTTTTAGTTCTTTTATTTTTCATTACAGGATGATGTAATTCAACATTTAATAATAACATAGCACTAATCATGAATAATACATCATCACTACTATAAAGTTCTGGATGCACTTCAGCAAAATATTTTGCATAATCTTCAAAGATATGATTAATTGAATTAGTTTCTTTTGGTAATTTTAATGATTGCACAAATGCAACAAAACCTGTTAATATATTTTTGTCTTTAATAAACTCATATAAATATTCTTTTAATGTAGCAATTTGTATTTCTTTTCTTTTTTCAAAGAAATCCCCAATAAATTGTTTGTCTAATCCTTTTGTATTTCTAAAAAAATTAGCAATTTGTTTTGGAGTTAATTCTTGTTGGTCAGGGAAATATGTTTTTTTATATAATTCTAAACCACTTTGAATATTTCTATTAAAACTTAATGCAATTTTTTCGTCTTTCTCTTTTTTTAATTTAAGGTCTAATTCTTTACCATTTCCAGTTCCTGGTTTAATATATTTTAACATATTTATTAATACTTTTCTTATTTGAGGAACTACAGTTGGATTTGCTAATTGTATCTTTACTAAATTCTCAACAATAAATTGAGATAAATTACTAGCATGAGGATCACAGTCATAATTAATATAAACTGACATAATAAAATTGGGTTGATTTAATAAAGAGTCTAAATGATGATATAAAATGTTTCTTATATCCATTGGTTCAATAGACTTGTTATATCCATTATAATATTTAAATTGAGTTTCTCCATTAATTGATAGTATAATTGTAATAACCATATAAATATATTGCTCAAGATAAACTTTACTTTCTTTTGGATAGTTTTTAATGATATAACAAATAATATAATGAGAATATTCAGAAATGATATATTCTTTTTCTGTTTTATAATTAATTATCATTTCAAACAATATAGGCATAAGACTGTTAATTGAATCTTCATCAAGGTATTGTGTATGTTCTAAAATAAATCGAAGTAATGTAACTTTCATTTTATGAGTACTAAGTACTTGGCAAATAAATTTCCATATTTTCTTATTTGTTATTAATTTAGTATGAAGGTGGTTAAATAAATATTCATTTAATGAAGCATGCATTAACCTTAATACTTCTGAATAGCCATCAAGAACTTTTGAATAAAGTTCTATCAAAATATCATCATTTAAATAATCACCAAGAACAATTAATGTCATAATTTTTTCATATGAAAGAACTTGAATAAAATCAACGTCATTGGTTGTTGTAGAAATTATTTGGTTGTATAATTGAATAAAATCAAATGAAGTAGGTAATAATGGTATACATCTTCTCATAAGATTTAGTGTAGATGTTATTAATCTTCCACTTGATGTTGTGTCAGATAAAATAAATGAAAAGGTAGATAATGAACTAACATCTGGCAAACTTGTTATTCCTTGAATAATACATTCTTTTTGTTGGATGCAATACAATTCATTAAATCCAACTTCAAGAACACTACAACCTGCAGGACTTATCATTCTAAAGATTTTTTGTTTTCATTATTTTTTAGATTTTTATTTTTCAAAATTTTAAGGCATTTTCATATTTTTTTTTTTTTTATTCTCTTTCTTTTAAATTGAAAAAGTCTATTTGAGCAAAAAATGCCGAAAAATAAATATTAAAAAATTGATGATGTTTTTTAGTATCAAAAAAGAAAATATAAGATGAACTAAAAATATTATTTGAAAGTTCAAACTAAAACTCTCATATAAAAATCAATTTTCATCTTTTTTCTCTTTCTTTTCAGAGTCAGAATCTTCGTGTAATTCATTTTTTGGTAATTCTATCTTAAGATTTTGACATAATGCTTTTTTATCTACTTTAGAAACAAACAATGATAGTCCTTTGCTTTTCCATCCACTGAAATATTGTTTATTAATTGGACTATTTGCATCTTTAATTTGGAATATTACACAACCAACTTCCATATCTTTAGCTCGTTCCATCACTTCATTACCTAATTGCACTGGACTTTCAGAAATTAACATTTTAACAAATTCTTCGTGTTTTATCTCTAATTTTCTTCGTTCTCCAAAAAGGTGTGCAACTGCAGATAGTCCTTCATTAGATAACCTAAAACTACTGTTTGGACCAACAGAATGTTTTCTAAATAACTTTAACCCTCCACCAACAATTTTTAACTCATTAATTCTAACTAAATCCATTGCCTTTTTAATTAAATAATGTAAAGTTCCTTTACCATCTCCTTTAAAACCAAGACATTCAAAATCAAAACCACTTCCTTCTAACCCATAAAAATTTTTTATGGTTTGTGTAATAGTTTCATAACCTTCAGTCATATTAAGTGGCATTAATCTAGAATCGCCTTTACGTGTTTTAATAGGTTTTGGTGCTTTTTTGCGTTTTTGTTTTTCTTCTTTAAAATCATTATCTAAATCTCCCACTTTTTCCAAAACAGCAACAAAAAATCCACCTGTGTTTTGGAGTTGTGGTAAGAATCTCATACATCTGTCTAATCTAAATTTTTTTGCTTCTTCTTCTGTTGGAGGGAATAATGTAGAAGGTATTTTTGAACTACCATCTTCGTTAGAATCTGGTTTAATTGTTAATTCTTCTCCTTCTTTATTAAATACTTTCCATGAAGAAACACCTTTACATCGTTTGAGTGTTGGTAATTCAGTAGAGACATCAACAAGTCTAATTTGTGGATAGTTTCTTAAAATAAATGCTACAACTGCTTCATCTTCATATGGATTCAATGAACAAGTAGAATATACAAATCTTCCACAACTCTTAACTAACCTAACTGCCCTTCTCATAATAGTGCATTGAGTTTTATGTAAATTAATTCCTCTCATAATATTCCATTTACCCCAAGCATCTGGGTTTTTTCTTAAAGTACCATCTCCACTACATGGAACATCACATAAAACACGGTCAAATTTCATAAATTGATCTCCAATTTTGACTGGATAATTTTGTGCTAGATGATTAGTAATAATAATATTTGGTGATTGAAGTCGTTTTGTTTGGTGGTCAAGTAATTCACATCGTTTATAATCACTGTCATTTGCAATTACAATTCCTGTAGCTTCTTCTGGACCAGAATGAATCATTTCAAGAATTTGTGTTGTTTTAGAACCTGGAGCTGCACAAAGATCAAGAACATCATGATATGGTTTAACATTTAAAAAAAGAGGTGGAATCATGCTAACAGCTTCTTGTCTAGAGATCACACCTGCTTCAGTTTGAACAATAATAAACCTACGTAATTCTTCAAGACTTTTATTTTTTTGAATTTCTCCACGAGATGCATTTAATTGATATGCAATTCCTCCAGGATACCAACTCAATTCAATTGGTCGTTCCTGTTCATTTTCGATATTATTTATTAATCGTTTTAATTCTTCTTTAATTATTGGTGTTTGTTCATTTCGTGTTAATCGAAAAGTAGTTGGTAAAGTTTTGTGCATTGTTTCTATATATTCTTTAAACTCTTCATTATTCATTATACTTGTTTGTTGTGAATAAAATTTTTCCATTTCGGGATTTTCTGTGATGTAATGATAGTCTTTCTTTGATGGTTTTCTTCCATCATCTTTCTTTATTTCTTCTTGTTGAATTTCTTCTTTCTTCTCTCCTTCCATCACTCAATATAGAAATAAAAGGGTTTCACTTCTTTTTTCAGATTTTTTCTTTTCTGATTCATACTTGAATTATTTACTCATAATTTTTTTTTAATATTTTAACGGTATAAAAAACACAAAATGATTGAATAACATAAATTATTGTTAAATAAAAATTCTTAAAGTTATAAAAAACATATATTTTAACATTATTTTATTTATTCAAAACAAAGAGAAAATGGATTTCCTCAATAATTAGACATCTCAAAAATAGCACGAAACAGTAACTTGAAAAGTAGATTATATTGACATGAAAAGAAGTCAAGCACCATCTGTAAGATTAGCAAAACGAGGTGTAAAAGAAGAAGACATTAAACTCGCATTTAAGTTTGGTTGTCATGCCATTGACCAATTATTAAATAAAGGAACTTTTGAACAGAAAACCGAAATAGAAGAACAAGGAAAAACAAAACAACTCAATATGGATGAAGAAAATAATGGTGGTGCCAAAAATGAAGTTGTCAAAGAAAATGGACCAAAGTTATATTATTGGTGCATATTTAAACCAAAAAACAAAGACCCTAAACCAGGTATATTAGAAGTTAGCTTTGATAAATTATTATTGTTTGATATGGAAGCAAAACAAACTGGTTCTGTTGATATCACTAGAGGAGAAGTATATGAAATAGAGTTAACAGATAAAGAAAATAAGGAAAATCATATCAAAGTTGAAACTCAAACAATAAAAATAAAGAACAAAGAAATAATAATAGATACTGGAAAATGTTTTGTTATGTCTCAGAAAGAGGTAAAAGTCCTAATAAGTTTTCCAGCAGAAAAATATGTAAATGGATCTATCTTTCTTCAAAAACCACCAACTGAGGAAGAGTGTGAGAAAATTGTTCAAAAAAAAGAAGAAAAAAAGAAGACAGTATTTGTTGGTAGAGTGTTATTATCTAAGAAAGCAAAAGGTTTTGTTGTTCCATATAAAAATGCTGTTATACAGAGAAAAAGACATGAACCATTATTTAATCCTAATGAACCAGATGCTGTTGTATTATATCAACCAACAGTTACAAGTAGAAAAGAGGTGGCTGTAGTTGTTGATCCACTACTAGGATTAAAACTAAGACCACACCAAAAGGCTGGAGTAAAATTTATGTATGATTGTGTTATGGGATTAAAACAAGGATTTAAAGGAAATGGATGCATTTTGGCTGATGGAATGGGTCTAGGAAAAACAATTCAAGCAGTTACATTAATTTGGACGTTATTACGACAAGGACCTAATGGAGAACCCACATGTAAAAAAGTGATGGTTGTTGCACCATCAAGTTTAGTAGGAAATTGGGAAAATGAGTTTAAGAAATGGTTAGGTAATGCTGCACCAAGGGTTGTTGGAGTTTCATGTTCTGGAGCTAAGACAGACCAAGCAATTAGTGATATGGATTTTGGATATGCTGAGATTATGGTTATATCCTATGATCAATTAAGAATTCACATTGATAAAATAGAGAAAATTAAAGGTTGGGGATTACTTATTTGTGATGAAGGACATAGACTGAAAAATGCTGATATTAAAAGTAGTCAAGCAGTAAACAGAGTTCCTACTAAAAGAAGAGTTATTTTATCAGGAACACCAATTCAGAATGAATTAGGAGAGTTTTATGCTATGGTTTCATTCGTAAATCCTGATGTATTAGGAAGTTTAAGTGCATTTAAGAGAATTTATGAAGAACCAATTATGAAAAGTCGACAATTTGACTGTACACCTGAAGAAAAGTATGCAGGGAATCAACGGTCGAAAGAGTTAACAAGATTAACAAAATTATTTATTCTAAGAAGAACATCTAAAGTAAATCAAAAATATTTACCACCAAAAGTACAGCATGTAGTTTTTTGTTCATTAACTCCATTACAAAAGAAGATTTACACTGCTTTATGTACTTTAAAAAATAAACCAAAAGGAAAAGATGAAAAGAAAAGTTGTCAATTCCAAATATTAACTGCATTAAAAAAAGTATCAAATCATCCTTGGCTTATCCAGGACTTTGTTAAAACTTTTCCAGAAGTATTAGACGGAGTACTTCCTAAAGGAGAGGCATTATGGGATATGGAATTATCAGGGAAAACAGCCTTTTTAGCTAAGTTATTAGCGTTTTTAAGAAAACATAAAGAAAAGATAGTTATTGTTTCAAATTATACAGAAACATTAAATTTTATTGCACATCATTGTAAGAAATGTGGGTATCCTTATATTCAGTTAGATGGAAGTGTTGCTGCAACAAAAAGAACACAGATGGTTAACAGATTTAATAATCCAGAGTTGGATGAATTTATTTTTCTATTATCTAGTAAAGCTGGAGGGTGTGGGTTAAATCTTGTTGGTGGAGCAAACTTAGTGATGTTTGATCCAGATTGGAATCCTGCTAATGATGAACAGGCTATGGGAAGAGTGTGGAGAGATGGTCAAAAGAAAAAGTGTCATATTTATCGTACTTTATCAGCTGGGACTGTTGAAGAAAAAATGTACCAACGACAAATAAAGAAACTAGAATTAGCAGGTAAAGTTGTTGAAGGAGGTGATGACAATGATGAAAGTACTTTTGATGATAAACAACTAAAAGAGTTATGTGCTTACAAAGATACTGCATGTGAGACGCATGACTTACTAGGATGTACTTGTGGTGCTGGTTCAAGACAAAGTATCAACTGGGCTAAAAGTGATGGTAAACTTGAAGTTCTTAGAAAAGAATGGAAACATTTTAATGGAAAAAAACCATTGGAAGATGATGTACTGAGAGAATTAGATTCTAAAACAATAAGCTTTTTATTCAGCAAAGAGGATGAACAACTAAAAGATGATGGTAATGAAGAAGTTGTTGAAGAAAAAATGCCAGGAGAAGAAGAAGAAGTTGAAGAAGATTGCAAAATGAAAGAAGAAAGTGAAGAAGAATTGTAAAAATAAGTAAATGTTAAATAACAAAAGATAAATAATTTATTTGTTTTTAAAGAAATA